AAAAAAAAAAGATAATGAAGAAGCAAGAGAGAAGGATGTTCACGGTCATAAGCTGTGTGTCGTATAAATACAAACGCTTTCTATCAATCAGATTCACATTCACTTGATCGTCCTCGCCGAAACAAAATACCCAACGTTTAAAAAGTCACTGGTAAGAGTCTTGAAATTTTGAATTTTTGAAATAATATTTTTCTCTATTACTTCGCACTCTTTTTAACTTCAACTTTATTACCATTACTATTACTAACATAAAGAAGATATCAATCTTGCTTCGTCCATCTCCACGGTTGTTCATCCATACATATAGAGCGAAAAAGAAGAAGAAGAAGAAGAGACACAAAAAAAAAGAAGAGAAAAAAAAAATCTTTCACCGTAACGATTTGATTGCACAATTTTATTTTGTTGGTCACAGAGAGAGAGTAAGAGAGAGAGTAAAGACGAGTCGAGTCGTTGTCAAAAAAAGTTGCATCATATATATATACACACACATACATAGAGCAAACGAGCTTGTACTGTATTTCACTCTTTCCTTCATATTCTCTAACACACACTCATACATATAAAATATAAATAGTTTGAGTGAACCCACACAGGAATGGGTCCATACAATCAATATACACAACCAACTGCAGCTTACAATTCGTCCGCCAGACAACCAGGAAGCAGCAGCGGGGTCGCAGGTGGTTATACACAAAATGGTAGTGGTGTTGGTCACAAGAATGGTAAAAGTTCTGGATCAACATCGAGTACAAGTTCATCAAGTTCTTATGATTATAAACGCTATCCAGCCGGTTCTAACGCTCAAAAAGTTGGTGCAACAGCAGTTGGTGCCACAGCATATGGTACAGCAGTTGGTGGTGGTGGTGGTAGTGGTGGTGGTGGTGTAAGTGGTTATTATGAACAACAACAATACAGTACAGGTGGACCAGGTTATGGAGTTTATAGTGGTTATGGTGAATCTCATTATGGTAGTGAAGTAGGTTATGAAAATTCAGGCGACATGTATCTTCGCCGCCGTCAAGGACGTATTCGTCGTCAAGCTATTCGTTTACCAGATCAACCAGGTGCTATACGACAAGTTCGACATCGAATGCCTACACCAGAACCAGACATTCTTGAACGTGTTTACATTCGTCGTCAACCAGGTGAAATCGTAGAAGAAATTATTGAAGAACCGATGACACCACCACCTCGTGTTCAAGAACGCACTGTTGTTGAACCATCTGGACCACCACAAGTCGTTCGTAAAGTAATTCGTGTACCGCCACGTGGACTAGGTTATCAACATCAACAACAAGAAACACTTAATCAATATGGAAGTTTAAGTGGTGCAAATGCACCAGCAGCTGGTAGTGGTGCCTATGGAGCTGGTTACGGACAATCAGGACAAGGATATAGTGGTGGAGGTAGTTATTACAATTCAAGTAGTGCTCTTATTACTCAACAAGGAGGACCTCAAGGTTATGGACAAACTGGCTATGAAAGATATCAAGCACCACAACCACAAACTGCCGGTGCGCCATTCGGTTATAGTGCGGCAAATGCACAAGGTATAGCGAGTGGAGGCATGTATCCACCACAACCAGGTATGCCACAATCAATGCTGCAACAACAAGGTTTGCCACAATCAATGCTGCAACAACCAGGTTTGCCACAATCAATGCTGCAACAACCAGGTTTGCCACAATCAATGTTGCAACAACCAGGGCTACCACAACAAATGCCCCCACCACCTGGTCTTCCACCAAATGCATATTGCTTTGAGACCGGCGGTAATGTAGCTCAAGGTCTTGGTGCAGGTGGAGCATTTGGCGCTTTAGCTCCAGGTCTTGGTGCAGGTGCAGCATTTGGCGCGGCTCAAGGTCTTGGTGCAGGTGCAGCATTTGGCGCGGCTCAAGGTTTTGGTGCAGGTGCAGCATTTGGCGCGGCTCCAACTCTTAGTACAGGTGCAGGATTTGGCGCAGCTCCAAACTTGGGTGCAATTGGAGGATATGGTGCAGCTCCAAACTTGGGTGCAATTGGAGGATATGGTGCAGCTCCAAACTTGGGTGCAATTGGAGGATATGGTGCAGCTCCAGGTCTTAGTACAGCTGCAGCGTTTGGTGCAGGTGCAGCATTTGGCGGAGCTCCAAGCTTAGGTGCAATGGGAGGATTTGGAGGAGCTCCAAGCTTAGGTGCAATTGGAGGATTTGGCGGAGCTCCAAG